TCTATGGTGCCTCTCAGTTTTACCTTTTTTTCTCCATTTGTTTTTCTTCAGAGTAAATTATTTACCTCTGACTTTCTCTTTACTTTGATCACTTTGGCTTCACGGTCCAACTTTTCCACTGGTTGTGAGCAGGTTGGGGTAGGTACTACAAAATAACTATTAAAGTAATGAAATAAAAACATTTTTAGATTAGATGTTTAAATTCAAGTCAATAAGTGAAAAATAATGAAGGAAATAAAGGCATCAGACTAAAACTACAAAATAAACATTTAGCTCGAAAGGAATAAATAACGTTTATGACAACATCATTAATTATAGATCTAGATGAGCTGATTTCAGAGTCTGAAACCAAAGCTATAGTCCAAAGGGACCAAGACCAAAATGGTCCAAAACAAGTGCACTCTAGAATAGCCTCAGAGAGATCTGTGAGTCTAAACCTAAATTATTTGTTTGGTATTAACCCCTAGAACCCTACGGACCCACCGGTGGGTCCAGCTGCTACGTGACCTAGTAATTTCAACAAACCCCCAGTATTGATGTAAAAAACACATTTGGCACAGTTTGGTGACATTTCTGGATAAATGTGCCAAAATAGCCCCTCCGCCTAAGAAATTTCTCACTAATACCATTCTAAAATAAATATGATTCATCTGATTGAGTCCAAATTTGGTATATTTTTTACACAACATTTAGATTTAAAAGTCTGTACTACTTTTCTGTGCTATAAATAATATTTTGGTAGTGTTTTGCAATGTTTATTTCAAAGCAAATGTTGCCGAGGTTCAAAAAATGCAAAATATTTTGTATTTTGTCCCTAATATTTCTGGCAGGGTCAAAGCTACAATGGTGCTGACAACAGAAAACCATTCATGACATCTTACCTTTACAGAGGTACCAAAAGTTTCTTCTTAAATCTAATAGCTGTGAGGCTATAAGTGATTTACTTTTGTGTGTTTTTGTCAGGCAGAAATTTATTTATACCCCCTTAGGGTGTAAGAGGTTAATGATAAGGCAAACATATTTGTTTACATGAGGCTGGAGGCAGTGCACCACCAATATTTTTTCTGTGAAATATAGTGAAACAAAAAAACAAAAAACAAAAAGGGAACTCAATAACTACACAGATATTCAATTTCAAAGCTGTGGTTATTTTTTGTTTTACTGTATGTATTTTTTGCTATTTTTGGTGCATACAACAAGCTCCAATGCAAACAAAGTAGCATAGTGGCCAAATTCCTCACTGTATCATAGATGTACACGATGAACCAAACATAAGCATCACTTGTCTTCTTTCTGTGTCCACTGAAAATCAATCATGCCTTATCGGTTTATTATTGAACTGATAAGTTAATCTCCCTTTATTTGGACTCTCTGAGGATATAGATATACATTATTACTGTTATTGTTAATAATATTAGTTGTTGAGGTAGTATTAGTAGTAGTAACGCCTGACATTAGCAAAACAAGTATATGGGAGTGGCAATTTAGAAAGGAAATGAACAGTTATCAGTACTTACTGTAAAAAAAAAAAAATCTCTCTCTATGTTGTAGAACAGCAAAGAAAAATTAATCACTCGGATCACAGGTCCTGCTGTGTTTATTTTCTGTAGAATAAAAAATTTCAGTTATAAATGAAATTCATGCAGTTTATATCAAGCTGTGAATTTGTTTGACCAATCGCAGATATGGTGGTGACTGTACACAGTGCAGTCCCTTGCAACAACTGACCAAATGCTGCTGTGGAGACCATCTGCGCAGAGGAGAGCAAACAGAAAGTCACAATCTGTCTTCTGGAGCATGCATCATCTTCACATGTCCACTGTGTCAATGTGGGTATGTGAAAAAACCCATCCAAATGTTGATTAAAAGATGTATATGCATCTCCCAATGAAACATACTATAAACAGATTAGAAAATGTCTCTATCAGCTAAACCGTCTGATACTAAATATGTTAGAATATCAAACAGTATGGAGATAATTTTACTTGAATTTAAAACATTCATCAGAAGAGAGGGGATCCTGATGAGCAGTTACCAATATATAAAATCTCTTGAAGCAGAGAAAACATATAAGCCAGAGCTTTTGAACCTAGGTTTGATTCGGCTGGTAATCTGTGTTGCCAGGCATTTGCCCGGTGGGCCGGTCCTAATTTCACCGTGCGAGGGCCGGCCCTCCTCAAATCACATACCGGCCGCAACACTTACTCTCTGGCTGAAGCACTTACCTGTGACAGTAAATAAGCAGCACAAATGAATTTTTTTCTTTACAAAAATATAAAATTTTAAAACATATATTTTAAATACGAAATATTTTAAATAAATAGTATATTTAAAATATATATATTTAAAATATATATGTATATATATTTAATATATATATATATATATATAAAATATATATATATTTTAAAATGCATATTTAAAAAAATGTTTGTACTGCTATCATTTTAATGATATTAATAATAGTTTGTAGAGGTCATCAAAGGTCAGTGAAAATCTGTTCAAGCTGAAACTGTGAATTTCACATAAATTATAAGTTGCTAAGCAATGAATATGAATGATTCAATTTTAACCTGAAAAAAATGATAGCGGCACAAACGACAATCTTTGCTGCACAAACCAGCACAAACGGAGTCGAGTTGATTGACACCCATTTCGTCTGATTTGAAGAAGGTGGGGGGGGGGGCTGGTTGACCTTTGCTGACCTCTAGGAACATTTCTTTATATCTTTAAAATGATAGCGGCACAAATGGACATTTTTGCTGCACAAACGTAGCACAAATGTTTGACACTGATTCGGTCTGATTTTGAAGGTGGGGGGGGGCAACTTCACCCAGGTGTCCGACCTTGGCTACATTGAAGGTCTTAATAGAGAGAATTAAAGAAAAAAATCTGTTTATTTATATAGTGCCTATTCACAACTTATGTCATCTTAAGGGACTTCACAGATACGGCTGACTTACCGAAGGGTTTACAATATTTTTCTGTATTCCTGGAGAAGTTAATTGGCCCTATGCACAACTCCACTACTTCCTGAACTTAAGGCGGCTCTTTTGTTTCCTGTCTTTAATTATTGAATGGACACATCCAGGTGTGTCTAGCCATAGTTACTGAAGTCAGATACACCTGGATTAATCAGTTTCCTCAGTAGAAAAAGACAGGAAAAATATGGTGTCTTAAGTTCTTAAGTTCAGGAAGTAGTGGAGTTAAGCAGTTTTTTCCGTTTTTTTTCTGTTTTTTTTTGTGGAAAGGCCGGCTGGGGTCGCTGGCGTTAGCGATTGGCTCCTCCTTTCCTTGATCATCTTGGGCCTGACACCAAATGTGGGCCCTACTTACACTCCCTGAAGGTGGCTGGTACAGTATTTCTGTCTGCAGATGCATTGGCGGATATTGGAGCTGTGGGCTCTATTCCTTTTGAACTTTCTAGCCCCTAACTTAAATCAGCTAAGCTAAATCTGCTGGGTTTCCCACTGGGTCTCAAGCAATTCTAAATGTTACACTACTGGACAGGACATACAGAACTAGATAAGCACTCGAGGAAGCGCAGACCTCTGCCAAGCAGCAGGCTGTTCCCCATATTGTAAGTTACAGTATAAAACACGATTTTGATCATTATTAAATTTTAATGAATAGCTCCTTGGCATGAGGCACACCTCTGGTAAAAAGTAAATTAAGATCCATTTGTAACTTTTCAAATAACCCTACTAACAAACCAACATATACACCTGAAAAATGACCTTATTGACATAGGTTAAAAAGAGAGAGTAGATGGTGAAGTTTTCTAAAAAGTAGGGTGTGGCAAAAAAAAGTATATGAGGGTTATGAAAGACATATACATGGATAGTGAGACAGTGGTGAGGTGTGAGAATAAAATGACAGCCTGGTTCACAGTGGGGGGATTGAATGAGCTCACTTTGAATTATGATGGAGAGATCACCAGAAGAGGTCAGGCAGAACAAGTCTATTGTTACATTTGGAGATCATGATCTATAGTGACAGCTGGAAGCAAGTTGAATAAAGCCTTTATATTTAGAAGTATGATTTGTAGAGAAAGTGAATAAAGTGCAGATAAAGCAAGAATATATTTGTTCATATGAGTTGACTAAACGGCCCAAAATGATGGCCAGTGTACAAGAGAGGAATAAGAGTGAGCAAGAAGGGGAAAGGGGAGGAATGCAATTGTCAGGGATGATTTGTGTCTGACTGATAGCTGGCAGCATGAAAGGGATGGTGTAAGAGAAGGATGGCAGTGAGACCTGCTGTGATGTATGGTTTAGAAAAGGCAGCACTGACAAAAGGATAGGAGGCAGAGCGAAGTGTGACTGGGTAAACATTTCTTTGTTAAAGTATAAGATGAAAAAAATGAGAACATCTAGAGGGCAGGTCGTTTTTACAGATCAAGCTAGATAAGAGATGACTAAATGTTTTGGACTAAGAATGTTTGATATTAAACTGCCAGGGAGGAGGCCAAGAGGAAAATCAAATCAGAGAAGATTCATGGATCTAGTGAAAATGGGTGCCAAGGTGAGATGGAGTCACAGGATCTGCAATCTCTAAACAAATTACCCACAGCAAAAGATGGACCTATTTATTTAGACCTTTAATTTTTCAAAACTAAAAAAAAAAGAAAATCATGGATTAAGTATGAAGATAAAAGGAGTAGGCCCAGGTACAGGCACGCAGCCAATTTTATTTTATTTTATGTTCTAATTAGTAATATATTAAATAACAACCATTGTCATAAACAAATATTTGTTATCATAATACAAAAGCATAAAAATAGAAATATACAGCTTCTAAAGTACCCATTGTTCTTTTAAATATTTGCACAGATTAGTTCAGCCTTTTTAGACTAAATTTATCTAAATCACAAATAAATAAATAAATAAAGCAAGAAATAAACAAATAAATAAATAAAATCTTCCAGCTGTAACTCGAGCATTTGACGGAAAACGAATAAGCCGTCCTAAACTATAATCTCGGAATCTCTCGCGATGATTGGTTTGTTAGCGCGACTTGTGTTGGAGCTAATCCTGCAGCAGCTGTCAGAGCTCGGCTGGTGGTGGAAGCAAAGCACGGCGAACAGAAACAAGGTTAGATTACAGGTTTTTGGAAGTGTAACGTTTAAGCTTTACTCCGTCGAAACCTTTTCCCATCTATTCAGAAACTCTAAACTACGGAATCCCGTTCTTTCGGTGTAATTTTCTCAAGTTTTAACCACGCCAATTTGATTTGAATTTATTCGTCACCTGCAGAAAGAGGGGAGCGAACAGTTTCCAAGTTGGTGTTAAGAGTTCCGATTGGAGTTTTAATAAGGATCAGATTCATGCATTTAGCGGTCTAAAGGTTATTGTTTGTGCATGCAAGGTTTGTCAATGATTTAACACGACAGACACACTATTAAACTACTGCTCTGCTGCACAGAAGTCTGATTTCTACAATATCTTACCAAAATTATCATGAAACCTCTCCTGAGATAGTGTTACATGTTTTGATTTCTTGCACTTAGAAAATAGAAAAGTGTTGCATGTGTAATATCCTATACCCTTTACTGGACATTCCTAAATAATCTCCTTTGCCTGTATCTAATTTGATCAGAGCATTAAGTGTGATTAAAAGTAGTTTTGTGAGTAGCATCATAAAGCTTACATTTAGACCTGTTTTAACAGAGCCTTAGGTTATAGATGTTTATCTAAAGGCAGAGGCGTAACCAGAAAATATTTATTAGGGTGGCCAGGCAATAACCAATGGACACTGCGGGGTGGCACCAGAACCTCAGGGTCAGTCTACACTCTTCCAACAGGAAAATTAATGAGCAAAACATCCATATTTTCTAAATAAAGACAAACTATACTTTCCTACAGCCTTTGCTAACAAATAGACACAAATATTCAAACATCCGTGCTTTTTAGATAAAAGGTATAGTGGATAAATTCCTTTCAGGTTTTAATTCTGGACCGAACATCTTTTCCATTGTCATTACTTACCTACTTTTATCAACAATCATTCTGGATAAAACTGATATTTACAAGTACAAATATCTACATAAATTGATTAATATGTTTTTATTAAAATAGTTATCTATGATTTCACTAAAGACTCCTAGATGACTTGCAGAGACACATCATTTTCTCTTTACCCCATATAACTAAAAATCTAATTATGGAAAGAGCATGAATTCTGTACTTATAATTTTTAATGCTAGTATTTTAGTGTGCATGATTAACCACAGTGTTTTTGTTGTCAAGTAATTGTTGATATATGAAAATTTAAACTTTTTTGAATATTCCACTTGAGAGTATTACTGCTGCCACTGTCTGTATTGGAGGGGGAAAAATGGTAGGGGTGGCCAATGATTGGCATCTAGCTCCGCCCCTGTCTAAAGGTTTATCTAAAACTGTGTTGCAGTTGTTTTCTGCACTTGTTATCTAAAAATTGTCGCACAGGTGCAAATAGAGCTGGGCGATAAACATTTAAAATCTCATCGCAACAATGGGCAATATTTTTGTGATAACAATAAAAGTGATGATTAAAAAAGGGAAAAGAAACATTAGTTCTTTGCATTTTGTCTAAGGTTACTGTACATTTGTGACTGCTTACTACATCAATCATAGCCCCACCGGCACAATTAATATCTCGTAGCAACCACCTTTAATCATATTCTTCATTTTTTTCCAAATTCGCAATGAAAAAAAAAATGGATGAAAAAGAAAAAACAATTCAGCTAGGTTCTTGAGTTTTTAATTATCATTAATTCTATTTGATCGTTTAGACAATAAATAAAAATTCTTATCATAACCAGAAACGTGAAGATCAATGCAATTAATGCCCACCATTGACTGCAAACCTACCAAAACGTAACTTTCGATGCAAACTTACTAGACCAGGAGAACAGAGAAACAACCAAGAGTTTCATGGTAGCTTTTTAGCAGAAGAGATGCATGAAACTGTCCACAGGAAAACCATTATATCTCTTTCCCACTGGGTGAAAAACCCCATTAAAACCCTGGGAACAAATGGCTTTTAGTTGCAGTGAGAACAGCACATTAACCTGAATCAACCCGGGTCAAACAACTCGACAAGTGACCCACATTAAAATCACCTCGGCTCTGATCTGCATGCTGTGTGAACACCAGTGCGAGAGTTCTCTAAATTACCTGATACCATTGGTCGCAAAGTACGAACGCTAAAACACTTCACCAGTCACGTCTGATCTAACAAGTCGAAACAACTGTTTACATTCAATAAACATGGAGCAGCACTGGTGAGAGGGATTCAGATAGATAATGGAGCAAAACAATAGAGCAACCTTCCTTCCATGATGCTCTCAAGTGTTTACTTTTCTTATTTTTGTCAAACTAGTGACATCATCAACGATAACATGGTGTGATGGTGTCACCAGACAGGCAGCTGCATGGGGACAAAGGGCACGCAGTGTCCCAGCTAGGGGTTAGACCCAGCTTTGTTTGCCATTGGGAAGGGAGCCAAAAGCCGAGTGTTACCGGGTCGACCCATGTTTGAAAAACACGCGTTAACCTGGTATTTTCAGTGGGAAAGAGGCTTTAGAGACAGACTTCGTATTTTTCGCTTTTTTCCCTAAAAGGGACTAAAAGCTATTTTAGGTATCCAGTTAGTATGTAAAAGAAAGTGCTTTGGTGAAAATAGTGATTGTAATTTTCTGGCCTATAGGCTATGTTTGGCCCACTTTATGAGCTTATTTTTGGTAAGATGGCGCCAGTGTTTGAGGCTTGCCGTCTGACTCTCCTCCTGTTTTGTTTCTGTCTCCTGTCAGGTTTTAATTTTATTACAAGTGTAAACTCTCTGATTGTGTATGATCGCCAAACATTGCTGGACATTGGTGCCTCAGCTGGAAACACGTTACTGAGGACGTATAATGCAGAAAAAACTTCGACCCGGCAGTTGGGCATTCCAGCTCACCTGTGTCGTTTCTGGATTTTGCCTTTCTGTTGGAAGCGGGCGCGCCGCCGTGGAAGGCGCAGCGGTCGGCTGGTGCGATTGAAGGCTGCCCTGAGGCGCGGTTTCTTTGCCTCCGCGATGTGTGGTCTGGTGCCTCGCCTTTCCTGTCCATTGCGTGTGTTGGATCCTGTGGATTCCTGTCTGGTTCCTGTCGGTGGAGGCCGGGATGGAGCGTTCCAGTCCCGTGGTCCCTGCGCTTCTCGGCCCTGTAGACGCAGGGTGAATCCTAGCAACCTGCGCCCTCTCTGCCGGGAGTCCCGGACGGCAGCTGATGACGTGGATCCGCCGATTTCTGTCAGGATCGGTTTGGTAAATGCCAGGTCGCTGGCAAATAAAACTTTCGTAATTAGGGATTTCTTTTCCTCTCAAGGATTAGATTTTTTATTTATAACAGAATCATGGACACGTGGCTTGGGTGACTCCAGCATTTTTAATGAACTTGTCCCAGGGAACTGCAGCTATTTTAATTCTCCAAGGATGTCGGGCTCTGGTGGAGGAATAGTGACTGTTTTTAAAAGTAGTTTTACTTGCAAGCAGTTGCCCGTACCCTCGTTTAGTAGCTTTGAGCTGAGCCTATTTGAACTTGGCAGCTCTCACACTGTGTTGTGTGCTGCAGTCTATCGGCCACCAAAGTATAACAAAAATTTTATAAATGACTTTTCTGATTTCTTGGCCGATATCATGCCAAAATATGACCGAGTTCTCATTGTTGGTGATTTTAATATTCATGTCTGCTGTCCGACTTCACCTATGGCTCAGTCATTTCTTAATGTTATTGATTCTTTTAATTTTGTGCAGTCTGTGACTGGTGCTACTCATGAACATGGTCACACTCTTGATTTGGTTTTATCTTATGGTCTACCAGTCTTTAACTTAGAAATTGGTGACTCATTCTTTTCTGACCATATGCCTGTTTTATTTGAGATAACGCTGTCCCGTGGAAAAGCTAAAACTCGAGCTGCAGCTCGGCTCTGTCGTGTTTTTAACCCTACTACTGCTGGTCAGTTTTCTTCTGTTTTTAATCAGAACTGTACTATTCCAGAGGATGTGGGAAATAACACTGAAGAATTCAGCAACTGGTTTTATTCTATCAGTAAAGCAGCCTTGGATTTGGTGGCCCCTCTAAAAATTAGATTTCCAAAATCCAAGCATGAACCCTGGTTAAATGAGGTCACTCGGGCTGCCAGGAGAGACTGCCGCAGAGCAGAACGCAAATGGAGAAAGGACAAATTACAGTTGTCTCTCCAAACATTAAAGGAATGTTGGCGCCGTTATCAAAGGATTGCAAAAGGCAGCCAAAGAAAATACCTGTCGGGTTTGATTGTATCAAATAGTCAGAATCCTGCTATCCTATTTAAAATTATTAACTCTGTTCTAAATGATTCACATAGTGGCTTTATGGAGACCTCACCTGCTGCATGTGAAAACTTCTTACACTTTTTTGATGAGAAAGTTGCTTCTATTAGGGCCCAGATTATCCCCTCTTCTTATGATCCATTCAGTTGTGGTGCCTTGTTCTGGTGTTTTCAACAGCTTTGAATGTGTGAACTTGCAATTATTGCAGGAGGTGGTTAATCACTTAAGGCCAACTGGTTCTCCAGATGATGTTATTTCGCCCCATTTATTTAAAGAAGCTTTCTCTGCTATAGGTCCTTCTGTCCTTGCTCTTGTAAATAGTAGCTTGTCCTCAGGCGTTGTTCCTAAAGCTCTGAAGCATGCAGTTCTGCAGCCTCTACTTAAGAAACCAGCTTTGGATCCTACTGTTCTGGCAAATTATCGACCTATCTCTAAATTGCCTTTTATTTCAAAAATTCTTGAGAAGGTAGTCTGTAATCAGTTAATGGCCTATCTTAATGAACATAATATATTAGAGGTTTTTCAGTCCGGTTTTAAACCATTTCATAGCACAGAGTCAGCCCTTTTAAAAGTTTTTAATGATATACTTTTAGCAACTGATTCAGGTGACGTTGTTGTTTTGGTGCTGTTGGATTTATCATCTGCTTTTGACACAGTTGATCATGTCATTTTGCTTTCCCGTCTGGAACAGTGGGTGGGCATCGGTCACATAGCTCTAGATTGGTTTAGATCATATTTGGCTGAACGTACTTTTTGTGTCTGTCTTGATGGCCATAGGTCCCCCTCTGCTCCACTGTCGTGTGGTGTCCCACAGGGCTCAGTTCTAGGCCCGCTCCTTTTCTCACTTTACCTTCTTCCGCTCAGCTCTATTTTCAGAAAACATGGGATTGCCTTTCACTGCTATGCAGATGACACACAGATATACTTACCGCTAAAGAATGTAAACTCCACCTCTCTTCGGTCTCTGTTTTTATGTCTTGAAGATGTGAAGGCCTGGGTGGCCCTAAATTTTTTAAAACTCAATGAGGACAAGACGGACGTAATGATCTTTGGCAGATCCACTGCTGATTCCGTGACCAGTCTTGGCTCCTTGGCTCAGTACGTTAAGCCGGTTATTACAAATTTAGGGGTTAAGATGGATGCTGGTCTTAAAATGGAAGCGCACATCAGAGCCGTTATAAAGTCCAGCTTTTTCCACTTAAGGCAGCTAGCAAAAGTAAAACCCATTCTTTCCAGACAGCATTTCGAAACAGTGATCCATGCATTTGTGACCACACGGCTGGATTACTGTAACTCACTTTATACAGGGGTCAGTGACTTGTATATTTCTCATCTTCAGAGGGTTCAAAATGCTGCTGCACGTCTTTTAACAGGTACACGAAAATTCGACCACATTTCCCCCGTTTTAGCTTCCTTACACTGGCTGCCAGTACATTTTAGGATTAATTTTAAAATTATTTTATTTGTTTTTAAAACTCTTAATGGCCTTGCTCCTTCTTATCTGTCTGAGCTGTTACATTCTTATACACCCTCCCGTTCCCTCAGGTCAGCTGATCAGTTGCTTCTGAGGGTCCCAAAGACAAAATGCAAGCTCAGAGGAGACCGTGCTTTTTCTGTGGCAGCTCCTAAGCTGTGGAATGATCTGCCTCTGAGCATAGACAGGCCTCTTCTCTTGCTGTTTTTAAGTCCCTTCTTAAGACTCATCTTTTTTCCTTGGCTTTTGGCACAATTTGAGAGGTTTTACTTTGTTTTATTCTTTTTGTATACTAATATGTATTTTACACTCGTTTTTTCTCTATTTTATAATTTTATTGTATTTTATGATTGTGTACAGCACTTTGGTCCTGTTCGGTGTATAAAGTGCTTCATAAATAAAGTTGGTATGGTATGGTATGCAGCACAACATATCCATGTTAAAACATGGTGGTGGCAGCATCATACTTTCGGATTTTTTTTTTTTTTCATCTTCAGCAAAGGCGAGGAGTAGAGTTTCTCTAAGGGGTATGAGTACTGTATCTAAATCAACTGTTATTTTGTTACAGATCTGGGAGAGTCCTAAGCACTCATCGGTGCATCATGTCAGCATTAAGTGGGAAGGTCCAGACCGTCCTGGGCCTCGTCGATCCAGACCAACTGGGACGCACCATGACTCATGAGCACCTGGTCATGGGCTTTGAGTGCAGCTACACCCCACCTCCACCTGGTGACGAGGCGGTGGCAGAGAACCCGTTCCAGATGCAGCACATGCACTGGCTCAGGCAGAACCCCTACAGCTGCAGAGAAAACCTGTTCCTGTCGCAGGAGCTGAGCGCCCTACGGGACGAGTTGCTGGCTTACAGAAAGGCAGGCGGGGGCACGATAGTGGAGAACACCACAACAGGCATCGACCGGGACCTGCCTGCCCTCAGACAGCTGGCCAAGGAGACAGGGGTCCACATCATTGCAGGGGCAGGGTACTACATAGACAGCACCCACACTGAGGCCACCAGGAAAATTAGTGTGGAGAAGGTTTGTTCAAGCTCATGCATTCTGCTCTGAAAGTTGAACAATGTTGCATTCCAATATTTCATTGTGTCGTCTGCACATTACTGTTTGTATAAGATACACACCCTTTAAACCCATTCGGTTTTTATCACATTAAAACCACAAACTACTTGAAAAATGTCCAAAAGCTGAATTTCTGTCGTGCCAAACTTGAACTGTTGAATAAAAATTCAGGCTTAACTTTGAATTAATAAATCTCTTTAGGTCTCTAGTTATGTTTTGTCATATTGTGAAAGGGGTTGTAATTGTTTTGCTGATTTATTTTATTTTATTTTTCCCATTGAACTTTACTCTCAGCACTTTTTGTGAATATGCAAAGTGTTTTCTCCAAACTTTGGATTGATTAACATGGATCTGCAGCTGTTTATTCTGTGTGTATTGACACATTGACAGTGTGCATGCACTCGTATAAATATTCAAAACTGCAGCTTAGATAGAGAGAAATCAGAAGATGTCACTAACCTGTCAGTCGCTTGTCTAAAAAGTGATGTTTTCCTATCTTTCTGTCAGCTCACAGACAGCATCGTCAGCGAGGTGCTCCACGGCGCTGATGGCACAGACATCCGATGCGGTGTGATCGGTGAGATTGGCACCTGCTGGCCGATCACAGAGAGCGAGAAGAAGGTGCTGAGGGCCACGGCCAACGCTCAGGCTCAGCTGGGCTGCCCTGTTATCATCCATCCCGGCAGGGATCCTGCCGCTCCTGCTGAAGTTGTTCGGATTCTCCAGGAATCTGGCGGTGACATAAATAAGACGGTCATGTCTCACCTGGACAGGTGAAAAGCTCATAGGATGGAGGTTCTTTAACCTACCAGCCTCCTTAACATGATTAAAGTCATGATATCCAGAAGTTATTTTCTTAATAAAAAAAAAAATCAGATTTTTTTTTAAATGTAATCTAAATAAGGTTTGACATTGTGATTTCTCTGGCCTTCAGCAGGCTTCTTTCACTACTTGGATTTATATTTGACCACATTTTTTTATATGAGTAGAAATATATAGGATTATTTGGTTTCCTGGCAAAGACTACATTCTTATTTTAAAAAATATTTAGGGTTGGGCTTTGCTGACCATCAAAAACTGTCCACTGATGCACTTCTTGGATTACTGGGGACTGAGAGGATGCAGACCAAGAAAACCAAAAACTTTCAGGAGAAAGGTCTTAAAGTCAGAGGAAGTCAAGATTTAGCCTTGCTAACACAATAACAAAAAATACTTTGTCATTGTGTTAGACAGCTTTTAGAATAAAGTTGTGAGACTTGTTCACCCTAAAGCATGGTGGTGGTAGTATGGTGGGGGGACGTTATATTATTGCCTTGATGGAATAATGACAAAAGAGGAGTACTTTTAAGTTCTTGACTATTTCTTAATATCAAATTAAACGTTCAAATATTTGGTTGTTCCTGCTGGACAGTGATTCTAAGTACTTCTAACAAAACTGGTTTCATAACCTTTTTTAGAAACACCCCAGATTTGAGCGCTTTTCAAATCCCGGACGTATAATACCTGAAAGCCAGAGCTAACCAGTTTAATCATGGTCATGCCGGGAAACTGCTAATGGTTACACCAAGGGCTGGGGGTCTCCTTTATCAGATTGCATGGGGTCTACCAAAAGTGTATGTTGACAAAACATACACAAAAAAGCGGAAAATTTGCATACGCAAAATATACACTCACCGGCCACTTTATTAGGTACACCTGTCCAACTGCTCGTTAACACTTAATTTCTAAGCAGACAATCACATGGCGGCAACTCAGTGCATTTAGGCATGTAGACATGGTCAAGACGATCTCCTGTAGTTCAAACCGAGCATCAGTATGGGGAAGAAAGTTGATTTGAGTGACTTTGAACAGCCAGAAGGCCTGGTCTGAGTATTTCAGAAACTGCTGATCTACTGGGATTTTCACGCACAACCATCTCTAGGGTTTACAGAGAATGGTCCGAAAAAGAAAAAACATCCAGTGAGCGGCAGTTCTGTGGGCAGAAATGCCTTGTTTTTGCCAGAGGTCAGAGGAGAATGGCCAGACTGGTTCGAGCTGATAGAAGGGCAACAGTGACTCAAATAACCACCCGTTACAACCAAGGTGGGCAGAAGAGCATCTCTGAATGCACAGTACGTTGAACTTTGAGGCAGATGGGCTACAGCAGCAGAAGACCACACCGGGTGCCACTCCTTTCAGCTAAGAACAGGAAACTGAGGCTACAATTTGCACAAGCTCATCGAAATTGGACAATAGAAGATTGGAAAAACGTTGCCTGGTCTGATGAGTCTCCATTTTTACTGCGACATTCGGATGGTAGGGTCAGAATTTGGCGTCTACAACATGAAAGCATGGATCCATCCTGCCTTGTATCAACGGTTCAGGCTGGTGGTGGTGGTGTCATGGTGTGGGGAATATTTTCTTGGCACTCTTTGGGCCCCTTGGTACCAATTGAGCATCGTTGCAACACCACAGCCTACCTGAGTATTGTTGCTGACCATGTCCATCCCTTTATGACCACAATGTACCCAACTTCTAATGGCTACTTTCAGCAGGATAATGCGCCATGTCATAAAGCTGGAATCATCTCAGACTGGTTTCTTGAACATGACAATTAGTTCACTGTACTCAAATGGCCTCCACAGTCACCAGATCTCAATCCAATAGAGCATCTTTGGGATGTGGTGGAACGGGAGATTGGCATCATGGATGTGCAGCCGACAAATCTGCGGCAACTGTGTGATGCCATCATGTCAATATGGACCAAACTCCCTGAGGAATGCTTCCAGCACCTTGTTGAATCTATGCCACGAAGAATTGAGGCAGTTCTGAAGGCAAAGGGGGGTCCAACCCGTTACTAGCATGGGGTACCTAATAAAGTGGCCGTTGAGTGTATTTCAGATTCGTCAAACCACGCTCATTTCATCACAAATCTTACCTGTGCAGTCCGCTTAAAGCTCAACCTCGTCTTAAGCCCGTTGACAGTCCTCAAATGAGCCAGCTGATTAATGATATTTAATGGTAACCAATGGTAACCACAGAAAAGAGTGAATAAGGGGCAGTTTAACCAAGGCAGAGATAGATTGGTTGATGAGTGAGGTGGAAAGTTGGAAAAATTTGTTTGGTATCGACAGGAGGGATGTTAGAAATGGCAACAGAGTCGTCTGTATGGATATTGATTACAATGCTATCATTGTAGGTAGGTATTGGTATTTGGCTGTAATATCTCAGCTTTATGGATACATTCAAATAATTATTTTCTTCCTGGAAGTTGCCTTTGTTGGAATCTGCACTGATAAGAGCCAAGTGCCAGGAACCCTAGAGTGCATAGGAGCTTTAATTAATTAATGAAATAAAGAATTAAGAAAGCTGAATGTCTGGATAAGTTTCCCACCAAGCTATCTATGTGGATAAAACATACCTACATCAGCTTTAATGGTGTACTGATCTAAAACTGATATATTACATGATACCTCTAAAATCTCCGATATTAGAAAACTCACAGAAACATTTTGCTTCTATCAGCTTTTCTTTGAAGTTTATGTAACTCTCTGGTGAATAAGAAATGGGTCAGTTGTTCTCATACCTGTTAAGTATTGTTCTCTGTTTGTGAAATATCACTTGATCAAACCTTTTCTTTCATTCCACACTATAAAATAAGTATTAAAAGTATGTATTATTAAAGCGTACTTCGTATCGGGTCAGTATCGGTAACTCTAAGCTGCAATATTGGTAGCGTAACAGAAATTAAAAAGATGTTTCGGGACATAGACTCCTATGCATCTTTAACTAACAGTGCCATAGAACCATATTATTGATATATAAGGCGTTGCTATGATTTTAAATAATCAATTAAACGGGATATATACCCAGGAATGCAGGCTACTCATATTTAATTGTATTTCTTAACAACCATGCACACTGCTATGTCTGGCTTTCTTTCTGCATTGTGATGAAGAGGGGTGGCGGGGGTCCGGTGGGTAGCTCTGAGCCCTGTTCATCTCGATCCCAGGGAATCTAGGCCAGGGAACATTGGTAGTTCTTGAAAACTCCTTTTCTCTTAACTCTCCCATTTAAACATTATACCAGAGCAGCATCCTTTGCACCAAGTTGTTACAAGATTATTAAGATTCTTGCAGCAATCAAAGTGAGGGCCTCACAACTATTTACTGTATATCTATGTTAAATCCCAGTTGATTATCAGGGAGAGCGATGTGATGGTGAGGAATGTTTAAATAGTAAGTTCACTTTGATTAAGGATCAGAACACCGCCCTGTTTTTATGTATTTCACAGGACCTCATTTATAGTCCTGTTTTACCAGTGAAAGCACATATTACACCGCGATAATGGATGCAACTTTATGATGATGATCCATCTATGATTCACGTTTTATGTTAAGTGAAATTGAAAGTCTTAGAGGACTTAATGTGGCTTCAGTTCTTCACTTCCCAATCTGTGTCGCCATTTTACCCGTGTCCTCTCAAAAGGTGCGTATGCATAGGTCAGCGTAGGCATTAGGGGCCGCACAAGTCGAGCGAAAGTTTGTTTTTGGTAGATCACAACCTTAACATAGAAAGTGGAACACGCAAGCTTCACGCCGTATGCAAACTCGAGAAATCAGACCCCAGATCTCCAAATTGTAGCTTGGATGTATACATTTAAGATTAAGAGTAAATTTACAATAAATTCCTAATTGTATATCTAATTCCTGTTTTTAATCAGATCTGAAGTTGTCATCCATACAATCATTCCTCACAGGAAAAAAAGTTTTTAATAACTTTTTAAACGGCTATAACTAACATCACAAATGCTCATGTGGGGACAATATATTATTTTTTGACCAGTAAATTGTACAACTTTCAGTTGGAAAAAGTATGAAATCCAATAAACGGCTTAATGTTTCACTTACAGATAATGACATGTATTAAAGAAATCACTGGTAAAGCTTCTATGACATAAAGTTCACCAGATTACATGTCACCAAAAGCTGAAATCACTCCGTATTTTTTATCTTCCAAATAATTTCTCGTAAAAGTATAGTTGAAGATGTTCTTTTTTTGGGTGAATCATTAAAATAATTGCTCCTCCTAATTGTCGATCATTCTGGTAATATGTTTATGTAAGGCCATCCTACGTGCTCGTCCCTATTTTCACTTACCAGTGGTGAGTCTGACATAGTGGAAAAAACTGCAAATCTTTTTTTGGAAAGTAGGCTTGTATGAGCGATGCAAAAAGCAACTTATAAACAGAGCTTGCTCAAGAAGAAGTGGGCTTGTGCACGCTCTTGCATGCGTTTAATAGGCGTTCCCTCTCAGAAGTGGGTACAGCAGGGGTGTCAAACTGGTTCCAGAAAGGGCCGTGTGGCTGCAGGTTTTCTTTCCAACCAGGCAGTAGCACCAGACTCCAGTCATCTCATCAAGTCATCATGTTCAGATCGCACTCACTTGATGAGATGACTGGAGTCTGGTGTGGTGTTGCTTGGTTGGAAAGAAAATCTGCAGCCACACGGCCCTTTCTGGAACCAGTTTGACACCACTGGGATACAGGGATTTGCATGTGCATTTTTTTTTTTAAGTGGAGAGGGCAGGTGTTTTCAAAAAGTCACGAAAATCCTCCACTATAACTTTAAAATTGTTTAGTATACAGCTGCTCATGAAACACAAGCCTCTAGATGAGTCTGAATTTCATTTTCTTATTCCAGGACAATATTTGATGAAGGCGAGCTGCTTGAGTTTGCAAACATGGGGAGTTACCTGGAGTATGACCTTTTTGGAACAGAGATGCTGAACTACCCATTTAACCTGAAGGTGGACATGCCCAGCGACAGCCAGAGAGTGAAAACGTGAGTAAAGCTGCCCTCAGTTACTAAATAGTCATTCTTTGTTTAAATCCTTCAATTAAAAGGTTTTTTATACATTAACTGTCTCACTTGATGCTTTTAGATTAACCTTAACTGATCTTCTTGATTTCTCCTTATGAGTTGGTTTCTGTTTATATTTGGAGGGAACCATTGCTGTGGTTATTTTTTCACAAAGCTTGTTGGTGTTTCTCCAGCTTGGCTTTTCTGGTGAAGGAAGGCTATGAAGACAAAATATTGGTGGCCCACGACATCCACACCAAGAACCGTCTGACCAAGTTTGGCGGCCACGGCTACTCCCACATCCTCAAGAACATTGTACCGAAGATGCTGACAAGGGGCATCGCACAGCACCAGGTGGACAAAATCCTCATCGACAACCCCAAACGCTGGCTGACCTTCAAATAAGACACAAAAAAAGTAAACAAAGCTGGTTTGACAGAGCTGTGATTTTATTTTTAGCAGCACAGAATGAAATATGAGATCTTTAGGATAATCGTACTCATTGTTTTGAACCCTTAATGGTTATATGTTAATAAATCTCATGTTTGGATTTTTTTACTTAATAATCATAGGCTGCAATTTCTGCAGTTGAAAAAGATCAGCGTATTCTTTAAAAATTAAAACTAGAAATCTACCAGTGAATGGAAAAATTTTCCCTTGATTGATGCCATTCAGTCAGCAGCATTAACAGCTCCTTTCATATCAGTCTGTTATAGTAATAAAAATCGTCTAAGAACAAAAGCAGTGTTGCATAAATGGAGATGATCCGTTCATTCTTTGTGAAATAACTGCAGCTCATTTGATTTATTTTGGAGTCCTTGAATAAAAACCTTGAACTGCAGGTCAGACATTCAAAATAAATCTCTATCGGCAACAAAAAGTCTCTTTTTGGCATCCCTAATTCATACTTATATTTAGAATTTTTACGTATATGATAAAAAAGTAAATGTGAACAACACAAAAATGGTTCTTTCATTTGTTCTGTTTTTATTTATATACCGTATAGATATTTTTTGCTTTGGTAGTTTAATGAGTCTAAATTAGAGATTCATCTCTATGAAAAGCAATTTGCTTTCACTTCCAAGTAAACTATTGTCACTTTATTAAGAAGTTTTGACCTTTGTGATCTAAGCTTGCGTTATTTCTTTTTTATTTTATCATTTTGGCCTTTATTTGTTCAAAATCAAAGCAAAGCAATTGGACAGACTGGAACCAGGAAATGTTTCTTGGTCAGTTCTGATTGGTGATCAGCTCATCAAGTAATAAAAAATCTGTTGTCTTTTTTTAGCCAGTAAATAGACTAATGCTCTGATATTTAGCGGAGTCGCTGCCTAGTGGTTAGGGCATGGAGATTGGAATCCTCAGGTTCTGAGTCAGGGTTTATACATGAATGAGTAACTCTTATTTAATGCTTTTTAATGCCCTTAGAAATAATCTTAATGCCATCAACAAGTACCCATGACTTATCTCTGTGTGTGTGTGTGTATATATATATATATATATATACACCTACACATGGCATGTATATATACACATATATATATATATATATATATATATATATATATATATATATATATATATATATATATATATATATATATATATATATATATATATATATATATATATATATATACACCTACACATGGCAAAATTTTTTGTCATCTTCACCGTGGACAGGCTGCAGCCATGTCCTGAGTTCCTCGTTTTCCCACCACTTTGGTTCAAATTTGCATTTTTCCCATTCTCTAGCCTTTTCTCTGCCTCAAGCTTCTTTTCCAAAGCATTTTAATGCCACAATTATCAAATTTAATGAATTAATGCCAATTAAGGCCTTAATTTAAGAAATAATAATTGAATGACTTTTAATGATCTTTAATGACCCGCAGAAACCCTGTGAGTTCAAGCCCCACTCCCACAGACTGCCACTCTGGGTACCTGAGCAAACCCTTAACCCCACACTGCTCCCTGGGTGCCGCACAGTGGTATCCCACTGCTCCCCAAGGGGATGGGTTCAGTGCAGAGAGTTAATTTCATTGCTCTGTACTTGTGATAGTGTAATGACAAAAAAAAAAATACTTAGCTGGTGACAAGCTTGTATTTTTACATTTCATTTGGGATTTAATCTTACTACCACTACCGCAGGACCTGCACTTTTTTTTGTTATTTCATTTTTTTGTGCGTACCGGTAGTTGTCCTCTGGACAATAATGCTTTGTAAATGATCTGTAATCAGACCTTAAAGATAACAGAAGTTCGTGTTGTCCAGAAAAAAAAACTGCTTATTGCACATCTGATTAAAACGGCTTTATATCACACATTAGTCATTAACTAAAGGAGACATTTGATTGGTCCAAATATTCTTCCCTTTTAATGTATTCTCTGCAGAGGTGCTCACACATATGGTGCAACGGTAATTATCTTTTTTTTTATTTAAACATCATCACTCCTCCTCCAGTTGAAACATGTCTGTGAAGGTGTTCCCTGACAGGTGAAAAAATGAGCCCGCTCATAATCAGTATGCTGCTCAGATCTCGTCACCATGGGCTTGTGTTAGATGAGATGTCACGGTGCCACCCTCATTGGGTGTCTCTGTGTGCCTGTGGGACAATGCTGGCGGGCCGGCCAAAACGAAGGACACGTCCTCCCCTCATCTGGGAACAGCTGGTCACACAGGGTGACTTCAACACATGATCAATGGTGAGATGGCCACAGCTGAGTGCACACCATGAAAAGTACATAAGTTGGATTAATCATGTCAGGGCTTTACAAAGAGAGCTAGATCATTTCATTTTACATTTTAACTGATGTTTTCAGATCAAGGAAAGCTGAAAGTTCAGCAAGCAGATTGATAAATGTTTCAGAGTTTTAGAAAAGATATGTCAGTGTTGGTGACTAACCAGGCTACCCTGCTGCTTAAACCAGATGCCACGTTGACACACACACATGAAAGAATGACGTGCACTGACCAGTTTGCCAATATACTTGTGCTTCATAAACGTCACATCATTAGATGCTGCACAGTGTTAAAATGTCAACGTCTTATAAACATGCATCACGATTCTTCTTTATTTTTTTACGTTTACCCCAAATCATACAACTTGGACATTTTGTCTATAAATAAAGCACAGAAATAGACCAACACTGGACTGATTAGTGGTTATGTGGATATAAGGATCTGTGATTAAGTGCAAAATGTAGATTTTAACACAGCAGCTAAAGTTAGTTAATTTGTAAAGCCTACAATAGTTCAGTCAGAGCGCACGAGCCACACAAATAGATTTGACTTTGCTGTACAAAATGAAAACTGGTGTTTTACACTCTGGGGTCCCTCATTGCTGCAAAGTAGAGTTTTGCTTTTGCAGGACTTTCTGCAAATCTCTTGGAATGATGTTCAACAAAACGGTGAGCTTTATCTGTCTCTAATATCCCGAGTGGACTGAGCAGGAGCTGTGACAGCAAGCTTTACATGAAGAGATAGGGATCCATCCCTGCAGTCTGTGCTTCAGTCAGCGTACAGCATGAAGCCGGAGAAGGTGCTGTACTTGTTGTTGTTCCCGCCATGCGCCTTTCCTCCGTCCAACTTGATGTAAATCTCATCTCCAGCCTCCAGGTGGAGGACAACGCTGTTGCTGGCATAGTCGTAGTTTTGGTCCGCGTCCTGCGCGATGGCGCTGGCCCTCACCTGGCAAAAGATTTTATACTGATGATATTTATTCATACATTTATTATAAATTAATCGATTCTGATTAGAATGGTTTATCACTTTGATTTTAGCTCCATCATGACATTTTCTTTTATGGATGCTGTGCGTAAAAGCCAAAGTCGTGCAATATAAAGTTAAATTTAAACAATCCCTAATAATAATAGGCTATCCAAATAGATGCAATTTTATCAATCAGAGCATTTAAAAGTTATATGAAATATAACATTTCACGAGCTTCACTCTTGAGTTTATTTTTGCGTCCTCTTTTGGAATCCGTGCGTAAAACTTAAAGTTTCACTTACAGCGTTTTTACGCACAGCGTCTCTGCAGGTAAAATTAGTTTAAATCCCTGTTTCGAACCTACCTGGTTGTTTTTGCAGAGGTCGGCCCACATGCTTGTTCCATCCCCGCCTCGCATCAGCACATGGTAAACGAAAAAGTAAATCCCCGGTATGGAACAGGTGAATTTTCCTGTCGATGGATCATAGTGATTGCCGAGGTTTGTGACAACGTCGTCGAATTTTAAAACTTCATAGCCCTCGTGTTGCTTCTTCAGCCCTGCGTAAAACGCAATCTTTGGTACCGTGTTGTAAGTGGCTGCGCTGATGGCGCCTGTTGGTCCATTTGCTCCAGGTAACCCAGGTGGACCCGGTGGTCCAGGTGGTCCTCTTTCCCCTGGAGGACCCACCGGTCCCGGTGGCCCTGGCTCACCGACCGGACCCCTGGGGCCCATCCTTCCAACGCGCCCGGGCTCTCCTTGGGGACCCTGGATGAACGTCGGCAGCGATTGCACCAGGCGGTTGTCTTTGTTCGGGTTGGCCGCCTTCGCAGTGGCCGCCGTTGCGGTCCCGTGGGAGTCGCACACCATCTGACACGATCCGAGCATCTCGTATCGCGCAGGGGTTCCGGCGGAGTTCACCATGACCGGAATCAGCACCACCAGCACCAGAACCAGCGCCACGCCGCAAACACCAGTTGCGATCATTTGCGCCCTGCGTATTCGCGGCGTTCTTCCGATTGGATGGTCTTCCAGCCTGATTGCGGGCGAAATATTTGCAGAAGAAAGAGTTGCACCCGCTGTGGAATTGTACCCCGACTTCTGCAGGTGAAAAAGTCCTTTAAACCCCACTTAAAAGAAACCATCCAAAACTTTGAACGCCTTGCAGGATCGATCCAACTTCATCTCTAACTTCTCCAAAAGACTTCCAGGAAGACGCGGACATGGAAGCCTGCAGCTTTCCTCAAGTTTCTGCTTATAGCGCGGAGCAACAGAGAGAAAATGGGCACGAAATGAAGCGCTACTCCTTCCTGGAATACCAGAGTGAGGGGAGGGGTGGAGGTGATGGATGGGGACGCGTCTGTGCCATTCTTTAATCAAATAAGAGGATGAACAACTTACAGACACTGATGCAACTTAGAAACTTTTAGAGGCAGAAAGTTTTTTTTCAGTCTGTGAAGTAAAAGGATATGTTTATCTTACATGTATCACTTTTCCAATTGATTATTTCTAAGCTCCACCCAGCACTGTTTTATAAAGGCTTATCCAAACAACTGCAACTTAATTAGGTCCGTTTAAGACAAAAGGTCACACCTCAGTGGCTCCCTTTGTCCAATTTATCATGTGGGGAAAATCTATAGAGCCACTGCAAAGAGGAGAGGATTCAGTAGGAGCTGGCTTTGAAGGATGACTCCTTATACTGATGAAACCAATGTTGGGTCGTTTACAAGGAAAGCTGGTAAACATAACCTAATTAACCAGTAGTTAGAATTAAGAGCTTGCACAGGTTATAGTGAACAGCGTGATGGGAACACCAATACTGACATTTTATCATTTTAACCAGGATGTGCAGACTTTTCATACCCTCTTTACATATGAACACGTCTGTGTAGTTTGATGATTTTATGGAAGTTGGAATAGATTTCTGGGAGCTTTGATTTTTGCAGAAGTAGAATTTCAAAAATAGGAATTTACAGCGAAAGAAAATAATCAGAGTTCTGGGAATGGCCAAATTAAACTGTGTAGGTTGTTCTCAGATGTGTTTGAGTGGTTAAGAGAATCAAGCAGTTAGAGCCATACCTCTGCACTCTCTCCTCCATCCTGATTGATCTCATCCAGCTTCTCATTAGGTTTTTGTTCTCCTCCCTTAAAGAGTTTTGCAGGGTGGTTTCAAACTGAAAGCACAAAAGCATATAAAAAAATGCAGCCATTAAAAAAAAAAAACATTTTTACTCATTATTCACATTATTTACATGGTTTTGATTAATCATTTTAAAAACTATTTTAACCTATGCAATTATTAGATACCATATCTGGATTTTCTTGCATTCTAGTCATTTTCTGGTCATAAATATGCCTGGAGCAAATATCTTGATAGATATTTACACAGTTTATTTTTGGTTGTTTAAGAGACTTTTTGGTATTGTAGCATTTTCTCTAATAGGCTTCTTTTTTGCAGATTTAAAATTCATGTACAAAAAAAGAAAAGCTGAACAGGAAGCTCAGATGAAGCCTTATGTTGACACTCCAACTTTAAATAGTTTGTTCAAACTCCCTTTAGCCAATAGCAACTATAACTTTTCTCAGGACTGGAGCAATTCTAAAAAGAATCATTTTGTTTTTACTCAAAGGTCAAAATGTATCTGCAACTCTTACCTTTAAATTCAACGAAACTGTATTTATAAAGGTTTTTGAAAAATAAAGCAATGTGACCTCTTGAAAACGTTGATATCTTTAAATCTTTGACCCAAGCAGTATGACATTTGATTTTCTTATATATAAAGAAATTAGTTGCTATGTTTTAAATTGCTAATTGAAGCAAGTCTGGAATTTTAACATATCAAGTAAACAATCTGTAGTTAGGATTGATGTCCATTTCAGAGCTCAGAGGTATTTGGAGTCTGGATTTAGCAGCCTTCAGTCAGTATTTTAGAAGTGCTGTGTTTTAGGAACATGGACTTCTTTAAAGAACATTTTGGAACCTTGACATTTTCTTTAAAAAAAAATAAAATAAAAATGGAATGTGCTTGAAAAGCTGTGCCTTTTTTGTTGATTAGCTCTAAATTTCGGTTAATAAGTACCACTTTAGGCAGGCAAAGTAACACAAGCTGTTGTTTTCTACTGTTTACCAACCACGGTCTGAGATTCTCTGATTTACCCAGAGCCCTGGGTATTCTCCTATACTCTTCTTTCTTCGGATTACCATGGTATTTGTGTTAGTTTTGATCAGGACCTATAATTTAAATCCCATATCAATGAGCTTTCTAGTATTTCCTTCTTTCATCTGGAGAATTTTGCAAAAATCAGAAATATCCTGTCTAGGGGTGATGCTGAGAAACTAGTCCATGCATTTGTTACTTCAAAGCTGGACTATTGTAATTCTTTACTATCTGGAAGTCCACAAACTGTAGTTAAAAGCCTTCAGCTGATCCAAAATGCTGCAGCCAGAGTTCTGATGAAAATTTAAAAGAGAGATCATATTTCTCTTCTATCCTGGCTTCTCTCCATTGGCTTCCTGTTAAACCCAGAATAGATTTTAAAGTCCTTCTTCTCACATATAAAGCCTTAAATGGCCAAGCTCCATCTTATATCAGAGATCTGATTGTTCCTTATGTTCCTAACACAGCACTTTGCTCTCAATCTGCAGGTTTACTAGTGGTTCCTAGAATTTCTAAAAGTAGAATGGAATGCAGATCGTTTAGTTATCAGGCTCCTCTCCTGTGGAACCAACTATCAGTTTTAGTCCATGAGGTAAACACCCTGTCTACTTTTAATGGTAGCCTTTAAACTTTCCATTTTGATGAAGCTTATAGCTAGAGGGGCTCTGAGCTATCTCTATAGTTAATGCTGCCATAGGCTTAGACTGCTGGAGGAGATAGGGACCCCTTTTACATCATTCTGCTTTATTCTATCTCTATTCTCCCATTCTGCAAAATGTGTTAGTTCAAACTTCACCTGGTATGTTCCTGTTTGTCTGTGACACCATCCTGGAGTGAAATATCAGTTGTCCTGCTGCCATCAAGAACTTTGTATATAGATGTTCAAGCTTGGCCTGTTTTTCAGTGTAGTCCTGTTTCTCTGACTGAAATGTATGTGTTCTCTTTCATCCTCTGATAAGGGAGCTGGCTCAGAGCTTGTCTGCCTGGCTGTGTGTTTCCTGGACGGGGCCACCTGTGGAGCTGGTTGACAGTTGACTTATGCATCTCTGCTTCTTTTTGTTCTTCAATCTCCTTGAACCCCAGTCGGCCTCGCAAGAAGGCTGCTCACATCGAACCTGGTTCTGCTGGGGATTTCTTCCTGTTAAAAGGAAGTTTTCCTCTCCACTGTTGCTACAAGCATGCTTGGTGTGAGGGATTGCCTTCCAGTAAATGATTCAATGCAATCAGCTGGTTTTCCTTTCAACCAGTGTGATTGTATGATCTGGTTTAATTGCCTCTGTGAAGTGCCTTGAGATGTTCTTCCATACCTCCATGCTTTAGGGTTTCATTACTTTTACATTTTTTAAGGAGTTTGTTCCAGATCAGTGCAGCATAAGAACTTAAACCTGCTTCTCCATGTTTGGTTCTGGGTATACAGAGTAGATTAGAGCCAGAAGAAGGCCCATAGAAGGCCCCTTCAAAATAGTCCAATATTTTCCTCTAAGCTGTTCTTGGCTGTTTTTACTTGTGTGTTTTGGATCATTATCCTGTTGAAGACCCATAACCTGTGACTGAGACCAAGCCTTCTAAACCTGGGCAGACCATTTCTCTCTATATAGTCTGGAGATTTCATTGTACCCTACATAGATTCAGACACTCTGTGCCAGATTAAGCAAAGCAGCCCCAAAACATATCAGAGCTTCCTCTGTGTTTCACAGTAGTAACAATGTTCTTTCCTTGATATGCCTTATTGTACTGTTTGTAAACATAGAGCTGATGTTCCTTGACAAAAAGCTCAAGTTTCCCTCATCTGTCCATAGGATATTCTTCCAGAAGCTCTGTATCCTTTCAACTTTTAGCTGGGAAAATTCCAGTCTATGTTTTTATGGTTTATTTTCAACAATGGTGTTCTCCTTGGTCGTCTCCCATGGAATTCATTTAGGCACAAACAATGACAGATAATGTGACCTGACTCTCATATTCCTGGAGCTTGAAGTTCACTTTTAATCTCTAGAAGTTTTTCTGGGCTCTTTTGTTAACATTCATATTATCCTTCCTTTCATACATATTTGTCTATAATTTTCCTCATGATCTCTTGAGATAACTCTTTCCTTCACTTCTTTTGGTCCGTGTTGAGTGTGATACACACCATGTAACCAAACAGCTCATTGACTACCTGCAGCCCCCACATATAGACCAAATAACTGATTACAAGGTTGTAGATACCTGTGATGCTAATTAATTGATACACCTTGATTTAATGTGCCTCCTTGGTGACAATTCTTTTCATTGTTTCTTGAGGTAACATCATTTTTGTCCAGGTAGGTTTTATTCCTTTATCTTTTAAAAGCATTCTATGTCTGACTTTCATTTGTTCATTTTATTTATTATTACTTTTGCCAGATTCAAGTTATTTCTGTGACCATTGTGGGTTTTTTTTCATGAAAGTGGGGCGGCAAAGTTTTGTCAATGTGTGTATTTTGGTGCAGAGCCATTAATGGTTTATAGATTAAAATAAGCATTTTAAAGTATATTCTCTGAGATACAGGCAGTGAGTGTAGCAATAGTAATAGTTATATATAATGAGGAAGCAGGTAGCAACATTCCGAATCCACTGCAGCTGTCTGATCAACTTTTTAAGGAAACCTGTGAAGACAAAGTTGATTAGTATTTCACTATTATTTCGTTTTTCAAGATCCTGCTGAGAAAGTTGTCCTGCTATCCTGTAGATTTTCTTTAGGCAACTTAAGGTAAGCATTATTACAGTCTTTATTTGCCTTTAAAAGTTCAGGCCTGAGTCCATAAATACTCCCAGATCTTGAGCCTTATTGGAGTTTTCTAGCTTTATTA